AGGTTCTTGCCTCAATTTGATGGCTGCTGACTGATCCAGGTGGTGGTTGCTAATGGCTGGGGTGGCCGTGGCAATTTCTTAAAAATAAGACAACAGTGAAGTTTGTTGCCTAATTGCCTCTTACTTTCATGAACTGCCATCTCTATAGCATGCAATGCTGTTGGTACCATTTTACCCATAGAACTTCTTGCAAAATAGGAATTAACCCTCTCAAGCCTTGCCCCTGCTTTATCAACCAAATTTATGAAATAGTCTAAATCCTTAGCTCTCATTTCAACAATCGTCACAGCATCTTCACCAGGAATAGATTCTGCCTCAAGAAACCACTGTCTTTGCTCATCCATAGGAAGCAACGCCTCATCCGTTAAAGTTTGATTATGAGATGGCAGTTATTCAGTCAGCTCTTCAGGCTCCACTTCTAATCCCAGTCATTTTGTTATTTCGATCACATCTGCAGTTACTTCCTCCACGAAAATCTTGAACTCCTCAAAGTCATCCATGAGAGCTGGAATCAACCTCTTCCAAACTCCTGTTCATGTTGATATTTTTACCTCTTTCCATGAATCACAAATGTCCTTAATGGCGTATAGAGTTGGTGAATCCTTTCCAGAAAGTTTTCAATTTACTTTGCCTGGATCCATCAGAGGAATTACTACCTAGGACGGCAATAACCTTACAAAATGTATTTCTCAAATGACTTAAAACCCAAATTATTCCTTGATCCATGGGCTGTGGAATGAATGTTGTGTTAGCAGGCACAAATAATGAATATTGTTGAGTGCCTAGGTGCAATGTAAATGAGCAGTAATATTTTGAAAGAAATCGTTTCTTTCCTTCCTTCCTTCCTTCCTTCCTTCCTTCCTTCCTTCCTTCCTTCCTTCTTTTTTTCTTCTGAGCAGCAGGTCTTTGTAATGGGCTGAAAATATTCAATAAGCCATGTTGTAAACAAATGTGCTGTCATCCAGACTTGGTTCCATTCATAAAACACAGGCAGAGTAGATTTAGTAATTCTTAGGGGCCCTGGGATTTTTGAAATGGTAAGTGAATAGTGGCTTCAACTTAAAGTCACCAGGTGTTCCCTGGAATAACACCTTTAATTTCTTTCAAGAACTTTGCATTCGCAATTTGGCTAACTGTTTGGAACAAGAGGCCTACCTAGCTTTTGGCCTAAGCAGCTTTCAACACGCTTCCTCACTGAGCTTAAACATATGCAGCTTTTGTTTTGAAGTGAGAGATCTGGGACTCTTCTTTCACTTGAGCATTTAGAGCCATTGTAGGGCTATTAATTGGCCTAATTTCAATGTTGTGTTTCAGGGAATAGGGAGGCCCAAGGAGAGAGAGAGAGAGAGAGAGAGAAACTGCTAGTCCATGGAGCTGTCAGGAACACACACATTTATCAATTAAAATTACTCTCTTACACGGGTGTGGTTCATTGCAACGGAGACATGAAGTGAACAAATGCTGTTGGAAAAATGGTGCCCATACACTGCCCAATGCAGGGCTGTCACAGACCTTCAACCTGCAAAAAAATGCAGTGTCTGCCAAGTACAATAAAGCAAGTGCAATAAACCAAGGTAAGCCTATATTAGTAATTTATGGCAGAATAGAATAATTTTTCCTCTAATTCTGTTTTTATTAACATAAATTACAAGTCCTGGCTAAATGTAATGCATCTTTAATCACTGATCAAATTTGTGATAAGATACTTGAAAACTCTAAACATTTGCTCACAGATGACATTATTAGCAATAAGTATTTTAACAACTGGAACATAAATATACCAAAAAGTACGTCAATGACAATTCTATGTAACCACTGTATACTGTGATAAAAAATGTATACTGTAATGCACATTCATACATAAGGAAAACTGTTTTTAATATTACATCTTATGTTTAAACTACTATATCTGTGCACTTCCCCAATCCTAATATCACTCAGTATGCCACTATTCAGGCTATATGGAATAGGATTTAGGGGAGAATCATCAAAATCAGATTTAGACATCCCACTGTATTTTATACTGATTAAAGTGAGCATGTACCTCAACCTTAAAATTTGAAAAGTAATCCCCAAACCTGTAACTTCACAGACGTGCACTGAAATGACAATAAGAGGTCTTAAACATTTGCTTTGGTGACGGTAGGACTTAGAAGCTTATTGCATGTTTATGATTCTCTAGAAATACACATATATCAGACTCAAATATTCGCCACCAGCTAGTGGGGAGACCTACTTACTTTTTATGCTTTACTTTATGACTCTTTTGCCTCAGCCCATGGTGAAAAAGAATAAAATCATTCTTATTCACTATCCCTAAGTGATGTGTTTGATAGTCATGGCCCAGTTTTTTATATAATAAACCAGGGAACAAAAGGACGTTTGCTAAAATGAGAAATGAAATATTATTCAATACTTTCTTTCAATGCACTCACATGTCTATCAATCCCGACAAGTGCAAAATTCAAATGTATACAAAATACATATATATGGATATATATGCATATATATTCAATGCCACACTTGCTAGAAGGAAACCACAATCTAAAACCAGCCATAAGTAAAAAAATAAAATAAAATAAAAAATAGATATGGAATTGGTTTATCCATTGTATTTACTGCAGGCACATAAATTCTTTCCTTTTAAAAATTACCTTATAATGGATGTGAAGATTAAAAGATCCCCACTGTTTATCATAGATGAGTACTTTCTAAAATAAAGCTTTTAATGGAGATGTTGGAAAAAAATAAATTGTTTTATACCAGTAAGTGTAAATTAATGGAATTATTCTACCTAACTAAAAAAATTGCATTGCAAAAACTAGTTAAAAGAATGAGATGGCTCTAACAAACATAAACAAACTACTATTTTACATTAAAGGGGACAAATATATGATTGTTGTACTTGAATTAAAATATTTTTAAATTCATTCTTTAAAGATTTAATCAGAATCACTACATTGTATCAGTACAATGAACATATTCTCCATGTGGAAATATCACAGAAATTAGTGAGTGTGTGTGTGTGTGTGTGTGTATGTATGTGAGTAAATATATTACCATAAGATCACTGACAAAGATGAAATGTGTCTCAAAGTATTAGAAATATGGAACTAGAGATACTCAAGGAAATAATGTAAAAATCAGACAAAGTTATAAAGAGAAAAAAGATACCTTTAGTGTTCTGGTCAGACAAGTTGCTAAAATAACTCAACATGCATGGACACATATTTGGCAGGTAAGAGCACCTAGAATGCAATCTTTTACCAACTAAATATTATGACACAAGTCAATGCTTAATAGCATGTATTGTTTTTGTCTATTTATAAGAACGTTTTTAAATGGTCTTTTGACTAATGGATGCCATTGTGCAGATAACATTAAGGGAAAAGATCCCATTTAAACAACTCCCTCTAATATTTCTTCACGTGTTTTTAAAGCTGAATATAGCCAATAAACTGTCTTTTATAGAAAATCATGTTAATATGCTATTGAGATTCACACAATAACAACTGAAATGAAAGAACACCAAAATAAGGTGACTAGTTAATAGAAATGTCAGAAAGAAAGGTTCAAAACTCCAAAGCTGACCATCACACTAGTACAAACAAGAGGGAATAAAATGAATGTGCTTGGAGTAATTTAGTATTATGAAGAATGTGAAACCATCTCATCAAACACAATGCTATTTAATTATCAGAACAGTAAGACATTTCCCCCCAAGACACTGAATTAAATATGTCTCTACCAAATAAAGCTTGTCATATCATTTTTAGCTCTTATAATTTTTTCCTAATCTCTTTCACACATTTACCCTTGAATTTTCTCCCTTTTTCTCCCTTCTTCAAAATCCCTGCTACATAAACGCTAATTAAAATAAACACAGGTAAATCAAGGTAGATTTCTTCAAAAGGAGAGGAGCTGTTCAAAGGAGGACCCATGCTAGAGAATCAAATGAATAGAAGTTTAAAGTCTGAAGCATTCAAATTAAAATCAGCCCCTTGAAATGTATCAATCTATACTTCCAAAATGACTTACACTGTGAATTGTGCGACTTAGTGCTCCCTTGTCGGTTGTATTAATAAACTCAAGCACAATTTTTTAAGTAAGTTAGTAAAGTTTATAAAATAAGCCTCTTCTACATTAGCACAGTCACTACTCAAATGTGGACACATATTGTGCCTAGACATTAAATTGATAAAAGGTATACCACAGGTGGTACTATCATTAGAGAACGAGTAGATTCAATGATTATATGTTGTTCTTTGTCTTATAGACTTGTTTGAATATGGCTGTCTTGTTTTCTTTAAAGTTAATTGGAGTTATGCATGTCTTCTATAGCATACTGAGATGGCTACATCATTAATGAAATCTCATTGTGATTTCAGTTTTAGGATCAGTCAAGTTTTTTCATAATATCATATGTATTAGGAAGAGATTGACAGAAAAAGCACATATTAATGTAACCTAAATTCATAAGTACGACAACAGTAATACCTACATAATATTTAAACATTCATACTTAGTTATGCATAGTTTTTTTACATAGATATAGTAAAGCTCAAATAAGT